CCTTCAGCGCGCGCAAGCTGTTCCGCGGCAGCCTGGTGTACCTGCCCCTCCTGCTGCTAGCCCTGGCTATCCACCGCCGCCCCAACACCCACGAACTCGACGCCGCTGCGGTGGAGGCGCTCCTGGCCGATCAGTGGGCTGCCGCGCGCGCGCGCGTCGCGTCGCTGCGCGCCGCGGCGGCGTCGGCGGCGCCAGACGTGCGGCTGCGGAGCGTGGAGGAGCGGCTGGGGTGGATTGAGGAGCTGAGGTGGCAGCTGAGGCAGATGCGGCCGGAGGTCAGGTGCCCGTCGCGCGCGCTGGCAGAGGATAGCGAGGGCGGCGACAATCTTCAGCGGCAGCAGCAGCAGCAGCAGCAGCTGCAGCAGCAGCAGCAGCAGGAGCAGCAGGAGGAGGAGGAATCGGTTGAGGGGGCTGCCGGCAGTAGGATCGGCGGTGGCGACGGCGGGGCTTAAAGGCCACCACGGCTGCGGCAACGGGGAGGGTCGCTTGGCGGCAAACAAGTGGGGCAGACGGGGGCGGCTGCATCCACTCAGCGACACAGGCGACGGCCCATACACACAAACAACGGCCTGAGGGCGAGAGGGGTGGTTACCCTTTGCAAGTTTTGACAATCACCGCCCTCCAGTGCAGTCCTAGCACTGACATACGGTATTGCTGCATGCCCCATGGGCGTGTGCTGGCTTGCACGTGCACAAAGCTTAATCCTGGCTTGGTCATGACCGTGTGCCCCTAACTGTTGTTTCGGATTGCTTTTTCCCGTTGTTTCCCTGTGTGCGTCAATCGTCCACGGGCCCCACCCGCTTCCGCATGCCCTTGTATGATGTCTTGAGACTTGACACAAATCCTGACATGCTTCAGCGCATATCGTGTTCGTAGTCATGCGCCCGTTTGACTTCGCTTCCCGAGCCTCGGCTTGGCTTGCTGTTTCCAATTGCGTGTCATCCCTAGCTTGACTCGTTCACAGGTGACGCCATATGACATCACGCGCATGCAGAACGGTAAAGACGTCTCAAGCCATCTGTCGGACAAGTGGCTGACTCCCACGCGCGGTGCAGCGGGATGATGCGGTGTGATGTTGGGTGAATTCTGACCGGCGGCAGGGTGACGGGGTGTGCGCGGGCGCAGGACAGCGAGCGGGGCTTTTCGGGCCAGGCATGTGCCGTCCAAAGTGTATTTCTCCCAGCTGCCAGAGCAAAACAATCCCAGCGCGTTTATCAAGGCTGCAGTCAACGCCAGCATCCGCGCTTCTCGGGCGTACTATACTGGGCGCTTGACCGGTGAGGAGGGTCGCAGCAAGCTGGACGGACCTATAACCAGCAAGGTGCCCCTCACACAGTGGCTGGAATCCTGAAGGGACGACAGGAGTGGATTGGCGCGGGGATCACCTCCGCCGGCCCAGTCAGGGGTGCTGCCATGCGGGCTCCAAGGCCGATGGCACCCCCAACGCCGCCCTCGCATCCACCGGGTGGTGTTCAGTAAAGCTGCCCATTGATGGAATGGATTAATGATCAGACTCACTCCATTTATTCTAGCGTGCTCCCCTGTAAAGCCACGCAATTGTGCGATAGATCGCTGGCTGGATCGAGGCTCAAGGGCAGCGCAGCTCCCCAGTCACATAGCTTTCACAACCTTGAAATAGCTGAAATGCTTCGCGGACGCGCATTCACCAGCGCTGCTCGCCACTCGGGCGCCGCGCGCCGGGCTGTTGCGAACCAGGCACTGGTGGCAGAGCGTGCTGTGCTCGGCAAGGACGCCGCCGCCGTCACATTTGCGCCCATCATCAACGTGAGCGGGCGCGACTGAGTTTGTTCCATTACTTTGCTATTTCCACCAGCTGCGCTGAAGCCGGCACCTTCGAGGCGACAAAGAAGCCAAACACCAACCCTGGCAGGTGTTGCATGGTGATCCGGAGTGCATTCCAATCCGATAGCCCACAAGGACCCCCATTCCTGGCAGTCAATGGGTCAGCACGGATCACCACTCATCCCCTGTCAAGCCCCTGCAC